TTAATATTATTGCTATTTAGTAATCTTTGCGCTTCCTTTTGAAGTTAATTTTTTGTTTCGTTTTTTTTTTTTTTTTTCAAAAGATTACGATGATTGTTTGCTTTTCGTTTATTTCCTAGCTGTTACATCATTTAGCAATAATTATCAGTCAAATTAGTTAACAGCAATTATCAGTAAGCAATTTTTCTTTTTTTTTTTTTTTTTCTGAAAATAGAAGCAAAAAAATTTTTTTTTTTTTAAATAATTTTGGTGAAATTTATTTACTTATCATTTATCACATTGCGAAAAATGAAATGAAAATTCATTTTGCAATATTATTAATCATTTCAATTTATCTATTGACAAATTGAAAATTTAAATTTGTAATTGTTAACTTGAAAAAAAAAAGCGCGGTAAAACTTAAAAATGATAATTGAAATACTTTTGAAGGGTGGAAGAAGAAAGGTTATCATGTATTTAGTGATAATATAATTTCAAAAAATCTTAAATTTATGATTTATTCAATCAATTCATTCAATTTTTTTTTTTTTTGCTCCCTTCCTATAATGTAATTATGTATGAATTGCGGATAATACTCGATGATATTTATCAGTTCTTATCAATTAACTTAGTGATATCTTTTCTTATCATTACATTAATATTCTTTAATAAATCATTCAAACATTCATTGCTGTGTAAATGCATATGTAAAATATCAAAATTAATTTGCAAATTTTGAAGATATATGATTATAAATTCCAATACAAAATATTTTGATTAAATTAATTTCATTCTTTTTTTTTTATTTCTTTCAACTATTAGTTTTGCTTCGTATTTAAAACTATTCGGAATTTTTATCAAAATTTAAATAAACGTAATATTCCAGCTGTTATCAAAGGTCATTTTATTGGTCACATATTGTCCAGCCATTGCCTTTGATATGCAACATTTGTTATTATTTTATTCATGTATTATCAGCTTCTATAATTCAAATTTCATTTCCAATTTTTTATATTTCTATTTTCTCTTCTCGCTAAAAAATAAAAAAAGTAAAAACAAAATAAAATTATATGAATAAAAATAAATACTGAACGAAATGAAATTGTATAAATGAAATAATTAATTGCTATTGCGTATACAAAATACTAATTGATGAAAATGCTGAATAAAAATTATCAAATTGTACAATATTAGATGATATTGTTAATTTATTAATTCAAATACATATTTACTTTATTTCTACTAAAATTTATTGGTTTATATCAATTTTTAAAGTTTCCGTTTATTTGAATTTTTTTTCCATTTTTTTTTTTTTGTTGATAATTTGAATATATAAATAACAGATTATTTTTAAGTGGGATCAAATAAATTTGTCGATTAATGATATTTTGAATTGTTAATCACTCTTGATGATCATTGATTCAATTTTAATGATCATAGTGGATTTAAAAAAAAAAAAAAAAGTGTGAATAATCACGTTTCGTTATTAATTTTTGATTATTTCAAATTAACCGATTTTTTGCACTGTCATTTTGAAGTTAATTTTTAATTATTCTTGCTTTTGTTTTCGTTTTTTTCCTTTTTTTTTTATAAATTAAACAATTAGAGAAATGGAAAATAAAAAAAGAGAAAAAATTTTTAATTGAAATGATTTTCCTATTATATATTAAAATAAAAGATGAAATCATTTTTTTGTATTTTGTTTTTTTTTTATTTTTTAATATTAATTAG